GCCTTTAAGTATAAAACACATTTCTGCAATAAAAACCATCAACAAGATAAAACACAAGAGCACATGAGAATGAGAAGGCTGATGGAGCCAACTTCAGGGTTGTCCTTAGCTTGGGGCTTTTTGGTTTCTTTTTAACCACAGAAAGATAACCGAGACAAAAAAAAACCCCAAATCTAAATGCTATATGATAAAACAAAGGCTACCTAAAATAAATACTCTATGAATTTCATATTTACAAGGATCTCAATAATCTATGCAGGTTTATGTTTTATTTGCAGGCATGATTTAAGTCCCTTAAAGGAGTTTTTCATTCCCTGGAATGCTTATTCTGCATGTATTTTGCCAATGGGCATGTGTACATACAGTAGCAGACATGTTAGACTGGCAGACTGAAAATCAGACCTTAAATGCATTTCTATTTTGTTGTGAACAATCTAGCCAAAAGAAAAAAAATTAAAACAGACAAGAACATCTCATTTTGAATACTAACTAGTTAGTTAATTATCAAGATTTTCTTTCAAGAATATACAGTTTTGGAATTTCTAATATATAGGTACAGAAAAAAAAGGTTTGATTTGACAGTGAGGGTAACACACCAAACTTTTGAATCTTCCAGGTGGCTGCTCACTCCTCTGAATATTAAAAAAAACCCAAACATTAAGAACTTACAAATAAGATATTTGTGAGAACTGTCTTTTAATATTTGGGAAGTATTTTTGTTGTTATTTTTATAACTCTACGGTTGTTTCAAAGTAAAATCATGCACAAGATTTCAGGATCACAGTCTATGCCCTTTCATATACTTTTAAATACTTGGAACTTTTTTTAAAGTTTTCCTTTCTGCAAGAATTTTCCTTGCCTATAATTATCCAAAGCTGTATTTCTGAAAAATATGACGAGAATCTATTCATTATTTTGCACAGATTAATAAAAAGACAAAACTTGCTCAATGAATAAGACTTCTTGGCCACATACAACTCAAAAAAATCCTTATATATATAGAAGTCATCTTCTTTGTCTGATTAGTCAAGAGGTATCTTATATCTAATTTTTTTATTATTCTATAGGTTGTAGTCTCTAGGGAAGCAGAAAAAACATTTAAAATAATGGCAAGCAATGGAAAATCAGGTATAAAGTATAGAACATTTCCACCCTAACTGAAGTAACGTCTCTGATTACAAGACAGTGGGAAAACAAGCTCATAAACTATTATACAGACTAGTTAAATAAAATGTGGGGCTGCTATTATGTATACTTACTGTTATGATTGCCATGTCACCTGTTCTGAGTCTGCACCATTAACCTTTCTCTGTTGTGGTAGGAAATATATGCACGTGCAGCACAAAAACTGTCTACTTCAACTGATATAAACCTGAATTTCAGATGTTTTCATCCTCTGTGGAAATACGCAATTAACTAAATAACAATTTAAAACCGAGAATATTAATTTCCTATTTAAGAATAAACAGAAAGACAGAATTAAACTAGAAGAAAGTATAACTATAGTACACACGCTGCAAGTTTAAACACTTAGAAGCTAAAAAAACATAAAAGTGCAAATGATTCCTAGTTCACTTTCAAGTCCATGTATTGCACTAATGAAATTAATCTTTCAAATCTTACTTTCCTCAAACATAGACTGAATTTTGTGCAAGATTATCAATATGTATCTTTCACTGATTTCTGAATTTCTGGAAACAACTCAGCCATGTACATATGCAAGTGGGAAAGGATGAAACTTTATCTTTTTACATTCTGACTTTTGAGTGTAGAAAATTTTGTTTGTAGAGTTACAAGAGTACTGTTCCCATAAGTATAGTACATGTATCACAGCAGTGTTCTTGGTTTTATTTATATCAATGTAAAGCCTTCCATCAAAGACCAGAATTTATTTTTTTTAAAGGTGAATAATGAAATGTCAGTAAGTAAGAAGATTGATCAATCCCCATTTTAAGTTGCCTAATGCACTCCATAATCAGAAGGAATATTTTCTTTGGAAAATTCTACCACCTCTACTATTTTTACAGGTCTTTACTATTCACAGGGAGAAATCCTTCAGTTTGTGGAAGCACCTTGCTTTTGTGCCTCTGAATTCAAAAGCATGACTTCCTCTCACCTGTATTTCCCAGGAAAAACACTGGCAGCCTGCCCAGACCCCCGAGCATTTTGACGAACCAAACCTACAACTCCCTCATAGCACTCGGATGGGAATGTCGAAGGGCTGATTGACTAGTTACATCAAGGGGAATCAGGATCCCAGTACATGCCACTGGCATCCCGTGTACCTGATGGCACGAGAGAGCAGGCACTCCTCTAACTCTAACCACAAGGAGAGAGTGGAAGAGAAAAAATGAAGTACAAAGCTGAGCTGGCATTTCCAGGACACAGCATCTTATTTCAGTTCTAAAGCAGTAGCTTCCTCAAACTGCACGTAAAGAGAGAAACTCAGCCCAGCCAGAAACCCAGCCATCACCTTCAACTCCAGATCACGGCTCTAGAAGCCAACACTCTTCTTTCAGCGCAGGAAAGCCTCACCTCTCAACAACAGGGACAAGGAGGGGGGCACTGAAATCAGTCTCCTCTCCTGAAGGTCTATCACATCATACCAACACTTCAACACTTTCCTAGGGAATAAACCTTCTTCTGCATCTGGCCCATCAGCCCTGTAGCTGAAGCCACTGAAGACAAAGCAAAATGCTTTGGGTGCAAATTTGGTTTACGACAATATGGTACACAAAATAACCTGCCCTCTAAAGAAAATTTAAATGTTAACATTCAACAAAATGGTACTACAACAAAACAGAACAGCATTTATACTGCTAACAAGAAAATTAAGATTATTAGGCACTGTTTAATGGCTGTTCATACATCTAATTTAGTCATTGGAAGACCTTTAATGACATAATATGTTTTTACACTGAACTTCTAGCTCATTCACTTCACAAGTTAAACATGAAAGGAGTTGAAATAAACTCTCAGAGCAAGTGTAAAGTTTCCATCCCTGAACTTTGAGCAGTTGATTTTGCAACCTAAATAATATTATTGCAATGCATTTTTACATGATTGCAATCTATTTTTACATGAATGTATTCCATATTTCATCAGGTAAAAAAAAAAAATCTGTCTAAAATAACCCAGACAAGCATGAAGGGTCCCCTACTGTGGTCAAGGGGACTGGATATGAATATCTGAGAAGAATTCAACTCTTTAACAGTGTCTCATCTCTCCTGTAGTTTTCTTCAATATTTATTTTCTGTACAGTTAGCAATGTGATTATGTTACCACTACAGAGCCCTTTGCATCCATAATACTGCCACTCAGTGATCCTGTTACGCTTTCACATAGGGAACCTGGATAAGAAGAAGCCCATTCACTCTCCTCTTCACATTTGAAAGTCAGAAACCATGTGGACAAACACTCTTTGTGTCTAATGGTGCCGACCACATGGTTCCCGCTCACCCATCCACAAAAGAAGTTAACAGAAAAATATTTCTTCACTGTGGGGAGAGAAGCATCAGTGGTGGGGAAGGAAGTTTAGGAAAGTTACCAATGAAAAGAGACAGCCTTACAGAAAATGAAAAGCCACTGGATACTAATATCATCCATCTAAACAGACACCCTTACATCACCGATGTATAATTCATCTGGAAGACTCTTCCCTCTTCAGTGACTTATTAATAATTCATTAATAACCTTCAAGAGTAAGAGCAAACAGGTGTGGAAGACATTGCATTCAAGAAGATTTTAGTACCCGCTTACACGACTGAAACTTGCATCTTTACTCCCTGTGTACCAGATGATGAAAACCATGACACTACCCTGAGGCTACAAGCTGCCGCTCGCTGCCTATCTCTATACTGCAAGATCACAGTCGGCTGCCATATCTATAAACAAGTCACCGCAGAAACCCACGGCTGTATCCCAGCCTGGGGTAAGACTTGGGCACGCACAATTCCTCAGCTCCCTGCTATCCACCAGACACGAAGAAGGGTACACAGGCTAGAAGGGAGTCGTGCCGTGCTACAGCTATTCCTGATCTGGGTATCTGGGGAATCGGGTCTGCACCAGTCCCTAAAGTCAAGCACTGCCAATTTTGTACATAAGCCCCTTAGTTTGAGAGACACAAATTATTTCTTTATTTAAAAACTGAAAAGGCAGAAAAAGCATGTGTTCAAACCGTGTTTATAAACAAGTCTGAGATATAGAGTACTGCCTTAGGGAAGCTTTCATTGAGAACTGATCACAGTTTAGAAAATAGCAGAAGAGAAGATACATAGACATCTGTCCCATTGCTTTCGAACAGATACAATTAATTAAATGAGCATGTGGAGCCTTTTTGGGTTGAACGAGTAGTATTTTGTCAGAGGGTTACAGCAGGAACATAGGTACTACCTTAACTGTGGATGCTTAGGTACATCGTAGAGTCTATACATGGTAACTAGTGGGAACCTACAGCTACTAACAACTCTGGTCCAACAAAGTGACTGACAAGTCTCGGGCTGCCTCGGTACTGACAGTATCTTCACTGTACAAGGCTATGATATCACAGCTAATCCACAGCCAAATTCCACAGTGCATTCTTTCACCTTGCTTCAAAATCAAAGCTGTTTTATAGGTTTGGCAAGGGACATAATGCCCATGGCAAATTAAGAACAACAACAAAAAAAAAAGTCTTTTGACAATGTGAACATTTCCCTCCGGTTATGAAATGTTTGGAAAAAGAAACTAAAACAAAACAAAAAAAGTTTTGTAAAAAAGGAGAATGATACCTCTGTTTTTCCTCTCAAGGATAAACCAATTCCCAGCATACTTAGCATTTTGACAGACACAGAATAGTTGTATTCCATTTCAGAGTGTTGCACAAACACAACCAGGACTGTAGCCAGGCTCTTCCACCCTATGACTACACACAAGGAATCAGTGGGGAGACGGCTATCGGACAATGGCTATGCTGGATTCTCCCCAGCCATGCTCAGAAATCAGTTTCCTTATTTCCTTACCCTCTGTTTCCGTAGGCTTCCTGGGCTGGTGGGAGATGGGCTTGGAGACTTCCCAGAGCGGGGAGTAGAAAGCTGGCTACCAGGGGTTCCATTCACTAAAAGGACAATGAGTTGAAAAAATAAATACAGGGCATTATTAAAAGAAATAGTTAAATCAACATATTTATTTTCATTCTTTGTCGAACAGATTAATTTGCTTTTGCTTAATGTTTTAAACGTTAAATAAGGTAATTCACAAAAGAACTCTTTCCTCAGAGTTTTGGCTCCTGAAGCCAATTTTTATACAGAGTGCAAGCAAATAATCAACAAACCTGAAAAGACTGTTTAGTCAATGGCAGAGAACATTAGATCACGTTTTCTTAAACTGTATTGTTCCTGTGCTTGAATGTGATGGGGAGCAAGGTGCTTTGTTAACCTTAACAGACACTTGCTATATGTAAACCTTTTCATTCCATTTAGTTATGGCTTGAAGTGCTACCCACCAAAAATAAAAAGCAGTATTGCTTGCAAGAATAAATCAGCCGCTTGCTGTTCCTCACTCATTCCTCTGAAGAGATTTTTGCAATACTATCTGACCCAAACATCACCTCAGACTTAACCCAGAAGGGCTTTCTAGAGGCAAATAAATTGGATGTAACACCTCAAGCCTGACTTACAGCAAACCATCACTTTCTCAAATAAGTAAGTTCCTTCAGATATGTCAGTGCCTGTCATTTTAGAAGCATTTTTTGCATGCATGTGACATTATCCATTAAATTAACAAAACAATACCAGCAGAGGACAGAATTCTACTACAAAGTAATCACACAAGAGGCTATCAATAATGTTCACACTGAAGCACTGATAGAAACGCTACAAAGAGTGCATCACATACATATGTAAATATTCTTAATCAAGCAACTGTTATATCACAGTCAATTTTTGTCAGCACCAGGAAAAAAAGAATCGGCAGTCAGATTCCCAGATTCTGAATCTTAGGAGAATATTTACAGACTAGGATATCAAGGCATTTGACTTACCTTCTATGAGTTCTAACATGGACAAAATCTTACTGTTTAACCTGATAAGAGCAAGCAGCAAAATTCCTGCTCTGTACTAAGCCAAGCTGTAGCCAAACTGAGAAGCAATGGGATTAGTTAAGGATAGCTGGGGCTGCTCACAGAGTGAGCTGAACGCGATGCAGGATTCATAAGCAGAAGCCTTTTCTGCGTAAGGCTGACGTCTTCAGAGCAGCAGTGGGAGGTGCAGGTGCTGTCTTAGGGCTACATCAAAGGTGTCAATTAAGCATAATGCTGCTGCTTCACAACGCTGAGCCACCGCAACCCCCACTCGCTTTCCATGGAGCCCCGAAAGCCTAAGCAATTTTATATGCTGTGCACTGAATCATAATGAGGTGCCTTTGGGGGCAATATACCAAATGACTCATCCGAAAATCAAAATGACAATAACTCTTGTAAAACCTTGGCTGACTGGCAATCTAGCAAATGCTAATTCCTTTGGATAATACAGTAGGCATTTTTAATAGATTTTTCTTACTTTTTACATAATGCATTGTTCTCACTGGCTAATACTGGGCCCTCACATTATGAGGAAGAAACATGTATACCTACCACGCCACACCAGTAAATAAACCACACTGCACTGCACGATAATTAATGATCACGTAATAGTGCTTAGGTGCTATGAGTGATCAAATCTCAACATCACTCTGTGCAAGGTATTGTTTAAGGTAAAGGTGCAATATATTTATATAACCATAGGAACAACAAGATACGCTAATTGGATTTAAATAGACTGCTTTTATAGAAACCCGTTGGACTCATCTAGGCTTCAAATTCTCTTTGTACAGAGGACAATGGTTTGCACATATCAGCACTGATTCAAATGTTGTACTAAGTGTGTGGGGGAGAGCACATGCACAGGGACACATTCACTGAAGTTCATACAGTATTCAGCAAAACACCCCACAGGTCTGGCCAATAATGACTAAACTCAAATTTATTATCAACACTTCTGAAATCATTCAGGAAAAGGGCAACATGAGGATATTAAAAATGAGCTTTTGGAATCTCAAAATTTCTAAAGTTTTAAAGGGCTTCTTACAAACAAATATGGTATTATTTAGAAACTAGTACTAAACTACCACTATTCACATGGATCTAGTCCTCAAGACTGCTCAGTAACAAGACTAGTGCTCTGCCTTCTCTTTAAACCGAGATGATATTCTTAGGTCTTATAATTATGAGAAAATTTAAGACAACAGATACACTTTAATAAACCTTGTAGCACTAGGCACCGGTTCCTGTTCCTCATAGATTGACTCCTTCCCTATAATTTTCAGCAACAGTTTTCCTTAGAATTACTATTGCAATTATTCTGTCCTGAAGACAAAGACTTCAGGCCATCAAGTGGAACCAGACAAATAGATGCAATAGTGTATTTGACTCTTGATGTATTTCCCACATGTAGCAGGTCAATGAGTATCTATTTGAGATGAAAAAACAAAGTACTATAAAACCTAAAAATTACTCACTTGCCACCGCCAGAGTATCCAGAGTGTTTAAGCTAAGTTCCAATGCTTTCCCCGACAGCACTTTTTAAAATGGAAAATTATGACAGTTGTGCTTGTGTTGGCCATCCGTAATATGTGAAATCAAGAGCACAATTAATGGATCAAGGCCCTCAGGAGATTTAAGTGGAGTTTGCTCACCTCCTTAAACATATCCAAAATACAAAGGTGCTAAGTACCTAAAGAGCACACCAGGATTTTTGTAAGCGTACAAGGACTCTCTAGGGAGAGCTGTTTAGGAAACTCTAGAGATGACAATTAGCACTGGGATGAGATTCCTTTTACCAGTCTTTATGTACCTATTGTGTAGGCTTCTACGTCTGAAGTAGTTTTCTAGACCTAATTTTAACCAAGTTGCTGTCATAGCATGAGTTGTATCATCCCCAAGCAACCATCTAAAACAGACCTGATGAACAACGTAGTAGGAGCATCTGCTGCAGTGTAGACTTCTAAAGCTAGGCAAGATGAATCCAAACCCATGAACCTAGAGGTTCAGGCTGGAGATGAAGCAAAATCATCAAAACTCTCCCAGCCTACCTTGGTGGATTTTATTCCAAGTGAAGAACTCCATTAAATAAACTCTGATAACTGAAGGCCGTACAGAGTCTACCTTAGAGTCAGCCTGAACAGGGACTTGTGTGACCCGCGTTCTGTTCCTAGCTCTCTATACGCATCTGCACAACATCAGACTAGTCATGTCACCTCTACTGCGTGTCTACTTAGGCTTTAAGTTCTGGCAGAATGAACTCTGTGCACATCATGTTGTCTGTCTTCTGTATGCTCTTCATACCTGGACATATACATTACTATTACTACTGATATTATTAATGTAATGCTTAAGACAGAAATCACAACAGGGAAGAAATGGTAATTCCTAATAATTCCCCAGTCCACTCAAGGGGTCGTCCTTTGTTATCTTCTTGTTTATGGCTTGCTGGCCATTCCACCTGACTCTAGTTCCTTGATATGAGGTGCTGCGTAGCAGGAAGAGACTGGACTGATTCTGACCCCCTTCCCAAACTCCATTTACAATCACGACACCATTCTTACATATGCAGCTCATGACCAGATAACACGGCAACAAATATGTGAGTAAAATCTATAATATTTAATAATAATGCATTCCTGATAAGTACAGGAATATAGTCTAAATTTCCCTAAACCCCATTTCTAGGAGGAATGCATTCTGGTTGGAAACTGCATTCCTATCTGTACTGCATTTCTCACTGACTGATACAGCACATGTTCCTACAGGGAACCTTGATGTAGATAAAGACATATGAAATTGGTAAATCACTGTTGTGATTGATCATGTTCTTGAGTGAGGCAAGAGGTTTCTTGTCACTTTTTATTCATAAAATGGCAGGGGTCAGAGACTTCAGCTTAACACACAGTGCCCTCCCATTGTCTCATGAAAAAGATTTATCCGTTCAAAATTTCACAGGTGAAATATGTATTAAAAAGCTAAAACAGTATCAAAATTATTGTGGCTGCTCTGAGCAAACGTATGCAACTACTTAGCTGCGAACTCCTTTCCTTACTGTCCTCTTTTGCTAAGGATGCATAGAAGGGCAAGAACCTGGCTTTGTATTTGTTTTTCCAGCACCTGGCACACACACGAAGGTAGAAAACCCCACAAAATAGAACACTAAAGCTAGAGACCATCATCTACTGAGATAAATGAAAAATAGGTTTTCATATGAAGATGTTCATAAACTAGTGAAAATGTTGCAAATAGAAAGTACCTTGATAGCATTTTGAAAGGGCATCTTTTTACTAGCAATACAATGAAAAAGTGAGAAAAGCTGAATTAAAGTATCAAGTGCCAGTCTGAGAAGCTGCCAATGCCACTGCACTGCATTGAAATCATACTCTCCTATAGAACTGCCTGTTGATGTCTTAGCATCTTGTACTTTACAAAAAATGTTGAGGTGTCTCTGTGTCTTTACAAAAGTGGTTTGCCAAACACAGAAGTGTGTCTGAAGAAGAAAGAGAAGACTAAGGGAAAAGAATGGAGCAGGCTTTTTTGCAGCAATAACTTATTCATGACTAGGACAGCAAAAACTAAAAAGTTACTTACAGAAGACACAGCAACATGTATAGGTCATATTCACCGTTAACTAGAAATGGTGATGTGAGATCACTACTGGACCTTGTCTCAATTACTCTTGTAGCTTGTCACTGTCCTTTCCAAAACATTTTTGTCTCAAAAAGATTAGGAAGTTACAAAGTAGCTAGAGAACAAACCATACCTTGCCTTTTCTTTCTTTCTGCTTTTGTATTCTACTTGTATACATCTTGTCATCTTTGTCTTCACTGCAAAGGAGAGAGCTTGTCCAGAGCTCCACGTTAAGCAAGCACCCTCATTATCACTCCTCAGTAAAGACAAGGTTTTGTAGATTCTACCTTAGAATCATAGAATCATTTAGGTTGGAAAAGACCTTTAGCATCATCAAGTCCAACCGTAAACCTAGTACTGTCAAGTCCACCACTAAACCATGTCCCTAAACACCACATATATACAGC